TACGCGCACCATGGACGCGCGTGTACGTATCAGTACATATGTAAAGTGTTTCGTTTTATTTCTTAAAGAAAAAGTTTCAAATCTAAAATTTATATTTAAAAATTAAATTGTTTTAGAATCGATTTTACGAAACATCACAGAAATTAAAAGTTATTAAATAATTAATTTGCTTCGAAATTCTTTTCCTAGATATATCACATCACAAGTAACATTTAATATCAGAAACAAATGGAACATGGTATCTTCTAAAGATCAGTCCACAACATCGGAACCTGAAGATGACGATGAGACCAATCGGCCTATAAAATACTCTACTTCAAAAGCTGCTGCTATGAGAATCGATGAATATCGTGATCCATATGGAGATACTGTCCCATGGTATCAAGGATATGTTATTTCACTAAGTATAGCCGTCTTCTTAGGTTATTTTTGTATTTTAAGAGAGGAAAATGATATTGATTTACTACTTGATACTGATTTGGAAGATTCACTGAGCAAAGCACAAAAAAATTTAACAAAAGATAATATTAAATCCTGATTAAAGTAGGATATCAATTCATCTCAAATTATCTTTCTGTGTTCTTTGTTCTTTGTTTCATAAAATTATTATGTAATATAAATATTCATATTTATTTCATTTTGAAAGATAGACTAACAGATAATTCAACCCATAATATTTATCTAAATACTTGTACAAAACACTAGAAAAAAAAGAGAAGTGTATTAGAGAAGTGTATTTTATTATAAATAAGAGAAATAGAGATGTTTAAGAAATGGTTTTTCATAATGGGTATAATAAATGGCCCCATATAATGCTATTTAATATTGTGCACCACTCGATCAATGGATGACAAATGATTGTATCTGGAATGCACTTTTTCCATGTAAATTTCCAAGGTGCAACAACCATGGTCATTGACAATATCGTCAGTTCTTTCGTGCAACAAGGATGCAATCTGATATCTACAATGCCTGTGGAAAATTTATTTGCAATATTAAACACTGCTATTGAGCAACAAAGAATTGTTACATTTTTAGTAATCAAACTATCTATAATATACCGGTAAAATTATGATAGCAACTTCAATCAAATTACTAACTAATTGATATCAATCATTAGCATTAGATTTGAATTTTGTCAGTAAAGCCTGTTAATATAACAGCAAACAGAAACTGAATAGATTCTACTCTATCTCTGTCGCATCAATTTACGTCCAACTATATAATAAGTACTACATAATAAAGAAAAATTTAGTTGATTTCTATGTTAATTTGCTACCATGTTTTATTGTGATAAACATTGCTGTTAGCATTTTATTTAAATCGTGTATCAAACCTAGCCTATTTATCAATAAAATTTGTAGCAAACATTTTTATAGATAAGTTCTTGACAGATTTCCCTTTCTTTTTAAATTACAATACTTACTACAAATGCTGTAAGATCGTAACAACCATTTCCAAAAGGTATAGACAGGCATAACTTGCAGATAAAATTTTAATCTGGTCAAAAAACCGCCAAATGCAATTGCCATTAATCTGAGCTATAATCACATAAATCATAAATAACATGCACAATTATCTCGAAAGAAAAAAAAGTTAAAGTTGAAATAGATGATGAAACAGACGTTCTCTTACCAACGTAAATACAATGTAATATATCCATGTTGTTGGCATTAAGAACAAAAGAATGGTAAATAATAGTGTCCCAACAAACAATTGATCTGTTTGATATTGACAAGAGTCCACTCTTTCACGTAGGGGATTCTTCTTTTTCCCAAGGAAAAGTCTAAAAAGTGCCGTGATTCCTCTCAATTGGATATTGAAAAGTCTGTAATGAATTATAGCTGTTGGATTATTTCAGATGAGAAGTTAACAGTTTTATTAAATTGTGATGGAACATTCTTCACCATCTTGCACAAGGATTAAATCCAACAAAAAAGAAATTTTGGTTTATACATTCTCAAGAAAAACATTCATGTCATTCTTCTAATTTTATATTTCTTTGTAAATTATTCAATAGCAATGGTTGACAATTTAAAATGGAAAAATGTATATGAAACATGTCTTCATGAATGAACTAATAATATGAAAACTGCTCAAGTTTTATATTATGAAACTCCAACGATTATTCGAATGGCAAAATTTACAAAAGTGATTTTTTTCACGAAGCATTGTTGTGTATATGTATACATAATACTGCTTGTAAATTTCGGACAAAGTATCTATATTGCAGAGCGTCAACATCTTTGAAAAATTTACAATAAACTTACAAAAGTTATCTTAATATATTGTGTCATATTACAGCCACAATGGCTGCGTTCGGCACTATCACATCATTTCATCTTTATTGCTCATTATATGTAAATTAAGGGTAGAATGATGGGATAATCTAATATCACGCGATCTAATAGCGCGCTCCCCAAACTCGGCCAATGTATGGCGTATTGAAGTTCTTTTTTGCAATTAAAATTAAAGGTGTTCTTAAATTTGTATCAAACTAGAGATTAAGATTAAATTAAAATTTAATCTGAATAAAGTTCATTAAATTTGAAATTAGTTTTCTTTTTTCTGATTGATTAAATTCCAATTTAATCTGAATCTTAATCTCTAGTCCAATATAAGCATAGCATATTTCAATTTAGAAGAAATTCGTTATATTGGCTATAATAGACTTTCATGATTAACTAGATAACTATCACAATATTTATGATACAATTAGTCGTTTGATGATTCATCGTTGTAATTTTTTTTCCAAATGAATTTATTTTTACATTATTATTTGTATTTTATTTTTAGTTACTTTTCTTGCAATCCAAATCTTAAATTTTTTGCAAAAAAGAATTTTCCATTCTTTTTATTAATTTTGAACTAACAGATTTTTGCTGCAACGATTTGCAATTGCTAATGGCTTACTAATTCCAGTTCTGTTTTTAGAATGTACAAATTCTCGTGTCCGATATATATGCAACTGATTATGAATATATACTAAAAGTAGTCAATTGTTGATTTTGGCAATCATAATAAAATGTAATCATAATAAAACATATATCATATATTATACATCAAAATGTGGAAAAATATATCATACCTTGCTGCATAAACATAAATACAGTATGTATGAAAACTAACAAGGGCCAAAAGATCTGCAACAATGGATATTTGAAATGTGAAGCCCAGTCTTCCAAATAAGAGCAATATCTCAAATGCAAGATCCAAAAGCGGCTTTGAAAATATTAAAAATGTCCACCATAATTGTATATGATACAAGAAGAATTTGCCCATAGTATTATTCAGAGCATGGTTGAGCTTCAAACCAGCTGGTACACCCATTAACCAATTTATCAGATCCTTTAAAGTTTCTACAACTTTCTATTAAATATAAATATCTAATTAGTAAAGCTGATAATAAAAGTGAATAAATCTGTAATATTTAACTTTAATATAAACAATTGAATATATATATTTTTTATTTATTTCAAATAGATTTTAATTTTGAAATAAAATTTGTTTAATTATCAATGAGATTATGTTATCGATTAGATTAAATCGATAAATATATGCTTTCAATTTACATAAAAGCTTTTAATTAAAAGCATTAATTTTTTACTAAAAAAAAAAAGAATATAGATTATTTTGTTTGTATAGAAATGGAATAGAGATCGAAATTCGTTGACAAAAAACAAATTGATATTACATCCTATTTATATTTATTCTAAGAAAAAACAATACCGCAATTATTATAATGTTTCTTTTTTAAATATCTTTCCCTAAGTTTTATGTAAATCTAATAAATATTACAATAAAAAAAATCTGATTCATTCTGGTGTAAAGAATAAGTAAATTTTCAAGCGTTTTCAAATTTTGTATTAATATTCTCTATTGTGAGAAAGTAAATTGAGATGACATATTGTTAAAAGATTTTTGTCACATCTACAACATGCTGCTTTGTGTAATAATATTTTAAATAATAATATATTTCTTAATAATCAAGTAACTAAAATTAAGCATATGCAAAGGTAATTGGTTCAGAGTTAAATTGTTTAGGTGCATTGCAGACTTAAAACTTGTTACTGTATTCATATAAATGTGATTTAATATGCAAAAGAATATTAGATATAAAATCAACCCATTGTAGGAATAGAAATAATCTTCTATTTTGTACAATTTCTTTTTAAAATAAAAATAATGTAACAAACAATTAAAACATTCAATTAATTGAGCTTAATGCAATTGTTGCTGTGCATATCATTATATAATTGCATTTTTTAAAATTACTATTATTGTATCAATATAGATCTATTATATAATCAACTAATTTATAACATAGGCAACTTTTTCCTTGGAATAAACTGATTATGTTGTAACATTCAATCTTCTTATTATAAAATAAAATAAGGTATATAAAATCGTTCTTGTATAAAAATATAATAGGAAAAGACCCTATCATTTTAAAATAGTCAATTGGGTCAATTGCCTGAAAAATTTTAAATTATAAAAATCATGTCAACACATCTCGATCTCTCCAGTATATTTAAACTTGCTTCTGCATTATTTAGAAGAAGTTGCGATGGGCTCTCTTTGATATAATATTGCAATAATTGCAATACAAAGATTCCTAATGCGATATCTATCATAATTGCTAATGCATAGTTTCCTGTTTTTAATTTAAAATTCTTGTTTTGTATGACCATTGCCAACATCCATTTGATATTCTCCAGCCAATCGTAGATGTGCAAGCCAAGGGAAGAATATTTTAAGATTGGTAATAACCTCTCTGTTACTTTGGATAGCGATTGGACAGGATACAAATAAAGGAACATATGATAAGTCAACAGAGTTTCCCAGATGCACACAAATCTGGATTTAATTGTTAACTCATCTTTTTTGTTTTGTATAAGTCTTGCAAGTTCATGAAAATGATTGCTCGATTCTGCTTCACTTTCAAACAATTCTGTTTCATATAATACTTGTTGATCATACAGAATCATTATTGTACGTATCGCTGACAGATTCATTTTCTTATTGTTAAAAATTATACTCATTAGATGATATTTATTGCCTTGATTACTTGTCTTAGAAGGTTTCATTACAATGTGTATCCAATGTGGATGTTTGTATTCTATAATTTCTTCATTTGCATCGTCTACATTGGAATAATATCCAATAACATCTAATGTAGATTTAATTAAATCTACCGAGGTCACTTCACGCAAAGTGATAACGTAAAATTTTTTCAAATCATTACGGGTATCATATATCACTTTACCAAGTAAATAACCAGATCGTTTGGTATGCAATAATTGTGGAATAAAAATTAACATATTGTTCATTATTTTTGCAGATAAAGACTATCTTATAGCTGCATTCAACGGAATGAATCGTACGATCAGTAAGCGATCAGTGATTATCAGTCTTTATTGTTACATTCCTAAATTTAAATCAATTACATTGATGAATTACTCAACCATTGTATTCGTTAAATGCAATCTATTATATCTTTTGCATCATTAATTTTCCTCTTCTTACTATTTAGATTTAAAGGATGCGGTAAAAAATATTATTTGCATTGTTTGCACTTTTGCACTTCTCCTTTTTTTAATTTAGACTGCATCCCCAAACATTATTCACAGAATAAAGCTACCGAACACATTTAAAGAATCAAATATACGTCCAACGTCGGAGAAAAGCCCGAGAACGGCCACGATCGCGATTTACCTGTTACTTTATTTTGAAGCGCCAATGTCCACGAAACATAGACATTGAACTACATAGCCATGTCTACGAAATTAGTCAGTAGATAATACGGTTATATCCATGATTTTGTGGTTCTGTTCCGTGCTATGTCCACGAAGTGTTGATACAAATACAAATCTTCAAATAATAAATATGTATATAAAGCATGTAAAAATACATAAAACAAATTTATAATTTATAAAATAGATATATAAAAATAAACAAATATATAAAATAAGTTTATATATTTGTACATACATGGCATTATTTTTGCCTCTTCGAAACTTCAATCGCGTTTATTCAAATTTTTGTTTATCGTTTTCTTAACAATTATGAAATAATCCACAAAAAGATTATTGTTCAAACACATAAAACAATCAGTTTTAAATTAATTCACGGAAACAACGATATTCGCTAACACCCAGTAACAATGACAATGCATCAATATAATAATCTCCTATTTAACGGTATACATATTGGAAATGAAATTGTAAACTTGTACACAAAAGCGTACAAGCTTAGATTAACAACTTATTTAAATGCTTTAGCTAGTAATCTTATAAATAAGAAAAACTAGAATTTGCAGACTCAAAAGAAAGATACCTCAGGACAATCTGTAAAACTCATTTCATTGGAAATAAATAGTTGGATATGTCTGCACTACAAGTAAATGTGATAAAACAATTACTGAATGTCCTTATTGAGACAGATTGTAGCTAATATTTGAAAAAAAAAATATATATATATAAAATATTGCTTAAATTCAGGAAACATGTGTTCTTAATAGCAGATTGCTCTATTCTATTCATGTTTATCAGGTTTCTATGAAAAATCCAAAAATTTTTCAATAAGTTAAGCCGTTGAAGACAAAGTAAATTTCCTAATCTTTAAAGTAACATTCATATTATTTAATAATAGTTATATATGTTAAAATAAGGCACGTTATAATATTCTCGAAGTTTTTAAAAAATAATGAATTATAAATTTTGAAATAATTGAATTTTGTCATCGTTTGTTTGTATCTTTTATTTAACGAAAATAAATGTATCTCTCTTCTTAACAGATTTTCTGCATATTAATAATACAAATATAACATAATAATACAAATGATATCCTCTCTTTGCAACAGAAATTGATGAAGATGTCATTTGAGATTATTCAGTAATCTTGATATTTTTTTAATATTTTCTATACAATTTTTTTTTACACAATACTGTCTTCTTTCATTCTTAAAATATAATAATGAAAATTCGCTTTAATCTCTCAAGAGGATAATGCCAAATTATGTTAATTAAAAAGTATGTCTGTTTTATCGTGATGAAAATTATATAATCAAGTGATATAATCAAATTCCTTTTATTCTTAATTTTGATTTTGAATGATAATTGTAATTTTACAATGTTTTAAGATAACATAAATAACAACAACATAAATAAAATAATTTTAATTTAAATTATTTCAGATTTCTTAATATTTATATATTTATTTTTCTTATTTTATTTACATGTTTACAAAATTTTGATAAATAAATAATTGAATAATTAATGATCTGATTAAAATCTGTTTAATCAACATGTTCATGTTCCGCATTACTTTCGAGCCAAGTATTTTGAATAAGTTCAACAAATTGTTGCCACCATCTGCTGCGTGATGTGAAATACAGCACACAAGCGACTATAAAAATCCATGATAATACTAAACAATAATCCATTTCATTGGAAGGTGTGCTCGAAACTGGTCCTGTAAAGTCTGCTGAAGTAACATATAATGAGCCATTTGGCTGCAGATTTGTCAAGTGAGATACAAACTTGGCAAATGATTCCAGAGTATAAATTGTATCATTAAATTTGGCGACAGGTTTTCCATTGTGAACCAACATCAATGTTGGAACTCCAACAATCCCATATTGAGCATTAAAGCTAAAAGCAATATATTTTCTTAGAATTATACATATAAATTTAAATATTAAGAAAAAGAAAAATTTATGAATATTTTCATCCTAATTTTACTTACCTTTGATGTTTTATAGCATCAATAGCTACAGTTTTAATATAAGGAAATGAACGAGGTATAGCATTAAAATGTGGTGCAGCTTGACTACTGAATATGCACCATCTGGCATAAAATAACACTAAAACACATGTTCCTGGTAACTGTTTACCATCTTTATCATTTCTGGAGCGATTTGATGGTCCAGGATCCAGAATTAATAATTCCATGAGTCTTGTTGCATTAACAATCTATAATATTGATAAATATATATAATAAGAATATATAAGAAAAAAAATTATCATTTGATTCATTTATTATATAGTTTTTTATAAACTTGTAATAAATGATACCTCAACAGGACCATAAATTTTTTCCGATGAGCAATTAACTTTAATAGTATTATTTGAGACAGTTTCAGTAATATTTACTGTATTTACTGTATCAGCATTTACTTCCACAGAGCCATCCTTTTCATCTATAAGAACCTTACTTTCTTCTTCATTGAAAATATCCTTAGATATTGCGGACATTGTAAGCTTTTTTATAATTTTTTCACTGTTGATAATATTAACTATAATTTTAACAAAAAAAATTATAATTAAATTTTATATTGATTTCAAAAAATTGAATAAAAAACTCCTAATCTTTTCAACAAAATGATAATCATATTATTTGACATATTTACATATATAATATAAAATTAATACATTGTGATTTTCTCAAAACTTTCAGAAAATGATGGATTATAATTTGAAATAACTGAGTTTTAAATAACAATTAATATCCAAATTCTATTATTTAGAAATTAATATATTTAAATATTTGTTAAAATCAATTGTATCAATAGCTTGTTATCAATTAAATTTCACTTTTGTTTTCATGTGCGCATAAAGAAAAAATTAGTTTTTACCTAAGATTAGAAGAAATATAATAAAACTCATAAAGCACATCCTCAATAAATTCATTTTTGATAACATCAACATTAAACTATATTTATTATTTTATATTATTATAATAAATTGATAAATCGGATTAAAGTCTACAAACATAACAGAATACACAACGAACTATTTGATTATATTTGACCGTAGAAATATTAGATATCTTGGTATAAATGGACCATAGTAGACATAGATCAACAGCATGGGCATATTCATACTAATGGAGCGTAGATTTTGGAGATGCATTCGCAGGTTATGTGTAAGGTGTCTTTACATGAGAGCATCAAATGCCGATCGTTGAAATTTCATGAGCATGCGCAGTGACTTTCATCGTTAAACAATGCAACATCGTTAAAAGGATGCTGAACTCATCTATTTTACCGACTGAATATATGTTTGTATTTTCCTATTTTCTTCGCTTTTCTTTATTTGAAAAAATTCTTTTCCAGAATAAGAGAAAATATCAAAATAAATATGGATAACTATAAAAGGATATTAAAAACACAAAAAAATTTCTATATTACAGTTTGCTGTTATCTAAGTCACTTATTTACTTGGGCTATGTTCCCTTTTTACTGGCAGTGCAATCACAATGATACGTCACGACAGTTCACTGCCGTAATTTCGTTCCGAAATTACTGTAGTACTAGCATTATGACGTCATATTTCGGAACAGCACTGCAATGAACTGTAACAGTACGTTATAGACAAGATGGACAAACATTCGAAACTTTCAATATACTTAATAGCATTAGAAAGTTTAAATGAAAATAGTAACGAGAGCGATTCCGAAGAAGAAGAACAAATAAAAATAATACGAACACCATTTCTAGTTCAAGTCCGCGTATAAAAAATTATATGGACGTGATAACTAAATATTCAGATGTGGAGTTTAAGAGCCATTTTCGGTAAGATAAATATAAATAATTGAGTAGTTTTATGTGTAAAATGCTTAGAAAGTAAACATTTATTATTTGTAATTGTTTTAAATATAAAATAAATATTTTATTTATTTCAGCATCTAACAAATCTACTTTTCGCGCGTTCAACGCCATATTGCACTGTAACTGCCTCACTTCGAAAGCTGCAATAATCGCAGTGGCAATATGGCTGCCATTTATGATGTCATTGATGGAACTAGATGCTGGCGCAACATACTGTATGCTAATAACAGAACAATTTTTCAATACTGCCAGTACTGTCAGTAAAAAGGGAACACAGCCTTGATATAAATAATAAGGCCAGTATTCATAATCAGTTTTTATAAGATCGTCTTAAATAAACTCATACAGCTATCCTATTGGTTGAAATGTTATCTTAAGACGATCTTATAAGACGAAATATAAGAAATGACTATGAATACCGGCATAAGTAAATATTCAAGTAGAAATTATTCACCCATATTTATTTAATATATAAGAATATTTTAAGACCTCCAAAACTGATTTGGAAGCTTATAGGAGAAATGAATTGAAAAGTACTAACTAAGTGCTGGTATACTATCATTTATGTTAAACTTTAAAGGTTAGATTCATATGTGTGCAGAAATATATGTATGAGTCGTATGTATGTATAC